CTTAGGCATGCATAAAAACTAACTGATTATAAAGTAGGAATGTATATGTACTTGGTTGAGGGCGGGAGGGATATTGGCGATGGAAAGGAGATCCTCAAGCATCTCGGAAGTGAAGTTACTCACGCCAATGCCCCTCGCAAGGCCCAGTCTCTTGCATTCTTCCATGCCTTCCCAAACTGACTTGATATCTAAGGGTAGCAGCACCCCCTTTTCCACTGGCATAGAGCTCACCATTTTCCCAAATTTGAAGGGCCAATGTATTAGGTACATATCCACATACTCCAATTGCAGATTCCTACATAATTCATTCATGATTAAAAAAATAAAAAGTTAATTATAGCTAGGGTTTCAACTTTCATTTAGGAGCATTTTGATAAATATTTCATTTTTTTCACTTTATCAGAAAACTAAAAATTAAAAGCTACTTTTGTGAGTTTTTAAAATTGGAAATTGGAATCTGAAAACTAAACTGTTATCATATGAGCCCTTAATATTATGAAATATGAATTGATTGACTGAACTATAACTTTGTCATACTATCATTTAAACCTTAAACTCATGTTGATGGCAGGCACTACAAGGTCTCTTTCAGCAAAGCTGGCAAAAAGCTTAGTGGTGATGAAGAGCTCACTCCTAGACTTGACGAGTCCAAGACGGAATGCTTCAGCTATGGCTTCCCCGAGATCTTGCTCTGATCCGTAAATGAAGGCCGTATCGAAGTGGCGGTAGCCCGCTCTGATGGCTTCAAGAATTGCAGCCTTGGCTGTTTCAGGGTCAACTTTAGGGTATGATGAAGTCCCCATGCCGATCACTGGCATCGTCATGTCACAAGAGCTCAGTGTTACCTCAGGAACTATCGTTGGCGTCATTACTAACTAATTAATGTACGTCGATCGCGAACTTAAGCTTACAAATTATCTTCAAGAATTTAGATAGAAGTCTATGGAATTAGAAGATATCTTGGTCTCCAGTTGTAACAATGTCTTGCGTTTATATAGGCATGCACCTGAACAACGAGATAAAAATACTCTTCGATGAAGATTTTTCAGTGTATACGAAACACAAAGTAATTTTACTATATGTCATAATATAAGTGAAAAAATATTAAAAATATATATTTTAAGAATAAGATGAATTAAATATATTGTCTACCTATATTATAACACGTAACATACTACTTGTATTGTCCGTTCAAATACAAATTTATGCTCGTCGATGGACATGCACGCATGAAGACGCAGTTAGCCAACATTACTGACCGAACAGCCCATGCAAATTTCTACTCATCGATGGACATGCATGCATGAAGACACGGTTAGCCAGTATTACTGACCAAACAGCCCAATTTCTCAACTCCCTTCTCCCTCTTCCATCTTTGTAATGAAATAAGTTAATAACCTTGACTCATTTTTATGGTCAATAATAAGCTTTTCCTTTGATGGCCAAGAGTGAATAATAAACGTGCCTTTGAAGAAATTCATCAACCAAATACGAATTAAAATTCGAAAATAAACTGCGATCTGTTTTTTCAGGTGTTCAAATTGTGGGATTTTGCTTTCACAAAAGGTGCGTTGTATATGTGTGTACACGTCCACATCTGGCCTAATATTTTATTGCAAATATAAAGTTTAAGAGACCTCTCTTAAAAATGATTTTTTATGAACTCTTTATCACCTTATATTTTTGACATAATAATATAAAATAATAATACGAAAATTAATGTAAAACGATAAACAGTCAAAAAATTTTACTTTAAAAGAATCTCTTTAACATTTTTCAAATTATAAACCATGCTTCTCTGTTTTCATAAAGAGTCATGACTCATCTACCAAGGCTCTGCCCGGACAAGACAACTGTGCTAGCAGAGATCTAAACCTCCAATGGAGCACGTGAATACTTTATTTTGTGTAATATATTCACTAATTAACCACCGTGAATATTTACATGTCTGCTTTGACTTGACCTTTAATTTCGTGATAGAACTAGAATGAAGAATAAACTATTTAGATAAGGTGAAATTAAACAAATTGTAATAAATAAATAAAAGTTAGAGAGATAATTTTTGTTAGAGACACAAACGAAGTGAGTGTAAAATATTACGCTATTTAGTTTCGTAACTATAACATAAAATGATTGGAGGTAAAAAAAAAGGGAAGTGAAAGGGTACTGATATTATTGTTTTCAATTCTTTTCCTTATTGCAGTGTGTAGTGATAACACACGAAGTGCTCTTTAAATAGAGTCACTCCCATAAAAACTTACAAAGGTGAAATAAATGCCCTTTGACAAACTTCATACAATAACAACATAATCACTATTCTAAAGTCTTCTAACCTTTTGCCAAAAACATGAGGGCATTCACCCCACAACTTTTACAACACAAATGAATTTGTCAAGCTGCAGTACTATTATTTTCTTCAACAAAAGTAAAAGTTGTAAGAGGAGATCTTACACCATCAATAGTATCAATATTCCTCTGTATCCTCGAACCAGGAAATGGTACTCTCCGAATTTCTTCATTCTAATCCACCAAATTAGGAGATCTGTGTCGCTGAAATTTGATCAAACGGTTATAAATAGAGGTTCACTTTAAAAGTTATAATAACTTCAACTGTTGGATCAAATTTCAACGACACGTATGTTAGACCGAGTCAATCTTATTAGAAACTCAGCTCCGAAACAAACTCTTCATAGGATAAGATTGCTAGGTCAAGTTTTAGTTTGAATAGTTCAAAGATAAGTTTGTTGTGATTTTGTATTTTGAATTCAAAGTTCTCCGTGTAAATAGGGTATTCAAAACCCTACTTGTAATCTGAAATCGATGTGTATAAATATACTGCAACCCATCATTATATGGGTGTGCAATTAAGCTGAAAACCCTAGTGTTCTAGAGTTTTACATGGTATTGAGCCCTACAATCTTAACGACAAACAATCCAATTTTTTTTTTCCAACCCATCGTCACTTCCATGGCTGAAAACAACAACACCAACTCCACCACTCAAACCAATCCTTCCCCCCTCCCCGCTGCTAATACTTCCATCAACTGTTTCTCTTCCGCAATGACCAGTGTCGTTAAATAAATCAGTAAGGAGTTCATGTTCAACTTTTTAGCACTAGCGTAAAGTCATAACTCACAGCCAACGGAGGAGCTTTTATTGACTTCCTTGCTAGACTAGGTTTGATCGTTCCATATTTCTAATTAGGCTTTTTAGCCAAAATGGTTATTGAGATTTGCATAACTCCTTATTTGGATCTCTGAGATTTGAAATCAATAGAATTGGTCTCTGAGTTTGTCCACAATCAATCATTTTGGTTATTTCATAAAAAATCTCGATTAAATAATGATAAAATGACAAAAATACCCTCAATTTTGATCATTTCATTTTGGCTTATTGTTTATTAAATTGAGGGTAATTTTATCATTTTGATACTTATTTAACATAATTTTTTATCTAAGGACCAATATGATTGATGGTAGACAATCTTAATGACCACTTCTATGAATTTCAAATCTCTGAGACTAAAGTGAGAACTTATACAAATCTCAGAGACTATTTTGACTAAAAAAAACCTAATAATGGAGACTTCAGAACAAATTCAGTTGATGAGCATTAACGATCAAGTGATCCTTTCTCCTACGTATCCATTAATCTTGTGTTCACTTTACAACTTATGGATACAATTTTAGGAATCGTCAAATTAAAGTCGTATCTTCTAAGCGACTCATCTCTTTTGTGTTAGAGCTATTAGCTAGTAGAAATGGAGCTTAAGAATGCAGATAAATAAGCAGAAGAAGAAGACTGTATTGTATTTTTCACAAACGAAGCTATTACAAGTGAATCCCAAATGATCCCTTTACAGTGCTCTTTATAGTAACTAATACCATTTCACAATTACAAAAATACCCTTATAACTAACACGACCATCTAACGTGTCGGGGTTGTTTTCTGAAATAATGCATGCTAATTAAGCTAGGCTTCCTTTTCATTTGCTGTCTACTGCTATATATTAATGCATGCTGAAATATTGGTTTGCAGACTTTGAAAAAGGAGAATAACTAAGTCTTGGAACAACGTATGGGGTTTGTTTTCTGAAAGTATTAGCCTTCATTTTCATTTGCTGACTGATACATCAATGCATAACGAAATATTGGTTTGTAGTCTTTGAAATAGGAGATAATAACAAATTTTTGGTCAGTGCGGACACATTCACATCCCTGCCCATTCAACCATGTGGTCCTTCGCTCTGAGAGAGAGAGAGAGAGAGAGAGAGAGAGAGAGAGAGAGAGATGCACAAAAATGCAGCAAATTAACCATCTCCTAGCATCTTACAGACTTACTCCAAAGTCTTATTTTTACATTTCTTCTATCTTTGGTTCAGATACTCAAAGTCAGCATGGGCTGACGGCTTGGCAATGTACATATAACATACAAAGAGTACACTTTAATTATCAGATTCACTATAAGACTATATCCAACCCTTTGAGTTCAAATCTAACATTTTAAACCTAGAAAACGGTTTATTTGCTCCAACCATATTGAGTTAAATTTTTAACCCGAGATAGTTAAAGAATGAATTTAGGCTAAAACTTTTTTTCAAAGTGACTTTAAAAAAAATAAGACTTATGTAAACTATCGTAATTTATTTTTATGGATATTTTAACTTAAAAATATTTAGATTCTGATAAATATTGAAAAATCACATGAAACAAGAGTTTTTGGGTGAATTTTGATTTAAATTTTTTTTTTCAAATTGTATTAGCCATTAGATTTAATTTGGGGCAGTTAGATCTTTCTTTTACCATTAGATTTTGACCATATTGGATCTCAATTGTTAGATTTAATGAATTTATAAATTAAATTTTAACTTAAGATGTTATTCCTTTTTTTTCAATTATATATATATATATATATATATAGAGAGAGAGAGAGAGAGAGAGTCTCCTCTCCTTAATGAATTCTTCAAATATTTTTTTTGAGAGACAACTTGTGGTGCTCATTTCATAACTTTTTCCATTGATTTAAACTGTTTATAATTTAGTACATTATATATAGATTATCAGTAATGTCTAATATAATGTTGATTTTTTTATCGTTTGTCCAAAAATACAAATTTCTATATATGCTTTACATAAATAGGGTAGAAGTTGTTTGGTACTAATGATCTTCGGGGTTTTCATAATGTTATATGCTTTCAGTGACTAGTGTCATTACTTTTTGAGTTATGACTCTGTGAACCCATCTCTTCGTGACTCTGAATCCATATAGATTTATTTATTGAATATGTTTTGCTTTTTCTATGACTTGTGTGGCTGGACTAATGAGAGTTCTTGATTTGCGACAGGTCTTTTCCCATGCGGTGGACCCACTGGCCTCTTCATATATGGTTACTGCTTGTATTATTACTACGCCCGATCAGATATGTCTCGTTTTATGCAAACGTCATTCTTCTTCGGTTACATGGCCTGCATTTGCTGCTGCTTCTTTCTCATGCTTGGCACCGTAAGTTTCCGCACTGCTTTGCTGTTTTTTTCGTCAGTATGAGTACGTGGTCGGTTGATCGTTCTGTTGAATAGGTCATCGTTTATTCCTTTTTTTTATCATAGGAAAGAGTCGTGATTTTTGTTAGAAGGTAGGCGAGAGGGTGCATTCCGAAGCAGAGGAAGCAGCGAGCTTTCCCGAGTCAAGTCTTTCGAGGCCTCTGTTGAGCGTTTGCTTTAGGCGTTGGGAAACTTTGGGGCAATTTAGAGTTTGCCTTAACTATTATTCACTAGGTGTATGTAATAGAACAGAAGCATTAATGTGGGGGAACAGAAGAGCTTGTTGTATGGCCACATTTTACCTAACTCTCTGAAATGACTTTTTTTTCCATATTAGCTTACCCTTATTGCTTTATCTAATTTGTCCATTGATCTTTTTCAATTCATTTTATCTGATAGCTGAAAATAGAAAGAGGTGTGTGAGAGGTAAAAATGGGTTTGTAGGTAGCATCACCCTCTAATAATTGACCATATGACTTGTTATTTGCTAATACATGAACCTGAAACTATGAGGGGAGGCTTTCGGAGAGGCTCCTCTAGCTCTAGCAAGAAGGATTCGAACTTATGACCAGTTAGTTAACACCTGAAGTCTATACAAATAGGGTAAATATTACAATACAATGGCTACCATACGCAAATGAACTCCATGTAGTTACTGTAATTACATTCTAAATTTCTAATTCTTCGTCAGTTAAAGACCAATCGAAAATGTCAAGATTATAATTTATTCTTTCCTTGTTGAAGCCTTGTGTTACCATGCTTTAATGCATGCATTGTTGAAGCGAGAGAATGGAGAACACGTAAAAAAAAAGTACAAGTACAAGTGATATTGGGAGGGAAAGGATCGAAAGATATATGTAAAGAACGAAGGAGTCGTAACGTACTTGAGCCGTTGTTTTTCCTTTGCTTTGGCAATGTCATCGAGGACATGCGACCCTAAAACACTATTGTCTCATTGTCTCCCCATTAACTGTTAGCTGCACCGAAAAGAGAGTAAGCTGTAACATGGGATTCCCTTTGCCTTACAGAACTCTCTCAATTTCTTTATCTGCCAAGCTGGGCTCGTTTCCAGCTACAAAACATATTTAAATTTAAATCTTCAACACAACCAAATATCGTTTGATGACATAACAATCTTGAACTTTGGACCATTTTTTGCAGGGATTCTTCAATTTTTTTTTTTTTTTTGAGAGACAATTTGTGGTGCTCGCTTCATAACTTTTTTCAATGATTTAAACTGTTTATATGTTGGTATATTATACATAGCTCATCAGTAATGTCTAATATAGTGTTGAATTTTTATCGTTTGTCCAAAAATAGGGTGGAAACCATAAAAAATGGTGTTACTCTTCATTATCAATTGAGATGTTTTAGATTTAATTTGGGAGGACAGCGAGTCAGCACATTATCTATAATAAATTGATTGTGTAGTTTAGTCTAAATCCTTTTTCTCTTGTAATGTAAAACATCGTTATATGAAAAAGTTAGGATAGAAGTCAAAGTACGTACGTATCAATTTAAATACCCTGGATTAAAGGAGCAAGCAACTAGTCATGGTCAATTTATTGATATACATGGGATGTGCGGGCAACTCATTAGTCAACAAAAGGGGATACTACTATTCTAAACTTGTATATGGACTAAGATTTTTTTCCCTCCTCTTTCCATTCCTTTTCATCCTTTTCTTTTTCCATCCCTTTCCATCCCCTCCTTTTACATTCTCTTATTTTATCTTTCTCTTGGTATAAAAAATTAATATAAGATGTTGACGTAGTTTAAATGTAACCATTCAAATAGGAGGAGAGGGAAGATGAGAGAAAAAAAAAAGGAAGAGAATCCTTCTCCCTTGTATATATCTACATACAAAGTATGTGTAAATTTTTTTTTTTTGTTTTTAAAATTGAAGGAGAGAGAAAGAAAGTGAGATAGAATGTGAGAGCGGAGATAGAGGTTTATTTTTTATTTTTCAATTGTTTAAAATTAGAGATGTTAAAATCACATGTAGATGAGACTTAAAAAAAAAAAAGCAAAATTTTGTCTTGTAAAATTACGTTACTGACCTTAACTTTTTTGTTGTGATAGAAGACTAAATGGTCTTTTTATTCTCTTTTTGTTAACAAAGAAGATTCTATTAACTTGTAGTTTAGAAACATCCTAAGTTGAAATCCCATATTTATAAGGAAGTTTTAACGAAATATTTCTGGTACTGTTCACTTTTAACGAAAAATGATATTTTTATCTTTCTTGGTACTATTCACTTACACATTTATTTGTTATTTTTCATTGAAACTAAAATTTTTGATTAGATTTCCTTATTCATAAAGATGAATTTTCTGGGGAAAAGTATGCACACATCACTGATGTGATGCTATACATATTATGCACATATCCCTGATGTGATGCTATACATATTATATATGCACATATATACATATTACAAAGTGGACTTATCCAGTTCAAAACAAAACCAAAAAATAAATAAAAAAAAAACAAGTAGGAAGGCAATAACCATAAAGTGATTTCCAATTTGGAGGGGATTGCATGCTTCCATCGAGACATTCGTCGTAAGTTTATCAACAGTTGTTATGATTTTGAAGAAAGTTAAGATTTTACGTATGAGATAACTTGTTCAGATACAATAAAAAAAATTGAGATTTTAATAAAAAGTCAATTGATAATATGAAAAATAAATCAAATACTTATATATAAGTACATGCAATTCTTTTTTCTTGATGCTGAATTTTTTTCTTAGCTGGTCTGAGGTGCATGGCCAGGGTTTGGTTTCTGTCACTATTATTAATATATTAATAGTCGAGCCTTGAGAAAATAATATGAGGTTAGAAACTTAGAAGCAGGCTTACGAGCACAAAAAATAGACATTGACAAGTATTAATCAATACAAAACTAGAAATTGCTTACATAATTAGGTGGATATAATTAATACAAAACAAGAAATTGCTCACATAATTAGGTTGAATAAGTTGACAGAAATGATTAGATGGATACAAATAGACAGACGTAATTGCTTACATTAATTTATATGTTGCGTGGTCATTAAAACTAAATACTTATTGTGTTTAAAAACAGAGTAATATTATTCATACCATGTTTTTATATTATATTTTCATACAATATATGTGGTATTTGATGTGAATAGCCACATCATTTAAATTAATCAGAATTTTAAATTTAGTTCATTATTTAATAAACTAATGATTAAGAAAAACTAGTTAATTAAATGATGATTATGGTATATGAGGAGTCCTTACTTTCCTTGGGTTTTGTAAATTTTTTAAATAATATGGCTGTCCACATCACATAATATCTAAAGTGATATAGAAATATGATATAAAAACATGGTATGAATAACATTACTTTTAAAAACAATCAGTTTTCTTTCCACTTGTACCCCTAATAAAATTCAAGCCCAATCGATTTTTACCTCAATTACTATTTCATTTTTTCTTTTCTTTTTGAGTTCAAAAATTAAAACAAAAATATTGGTAATTGAAAAAATAAAAAGAACGGCAGACCCTTCGTAATTTCATGTCCAAAAGCATCAAATCCAATTCAAGTCTCCGACGAAGCTTATTTTGGAAGCATTTCAGATTTTACATCAATTGCATCAACCGCTCCGCCGAAATCACCATAAAAAACGATCCTAAGAACTCCGGCTAAGCCGTGGAGTCCTGCGCTACCAGGAAGTTTGAGCCGTGACAGGAGGACGGGCATGGGGTTTGGGGAGAGGAGGTGGAGATAAAGAGGACGAGGACTAGCTGATGAATTCTGTGAAATGGTTAAAGAACATGAGGGAAGTGGAGATGAAGAGGACGGAGGAAGAGGAGGAAGAAGCAATTGTGAAACCGACTGGAATTCATAACTCGAACAATTATGTTCGAAGGATTCTTGAATGTGACGTCGATGTGGAAGATGATATTGGAAGATGATGATTGAATTTTCATATGTCTGGGTGAGGGAGATGCGGAAGATGAACAGGTCTCCCAATTTTTTTATTTTTTTCAATTACTAATATTTTTGTTTTAGTTTTTGAAACAGTGGAACTTGCGGGAATACTAAGAATAATATTTGGCTAATTAAAGATGAGTAGGAATTTATACTCAAAATTCTTAATGTTTTAATTACAGAGCTTTGTGTTTATGATCATAACTGTTCATATTATGAATCACACGGTAAAAATTATATCTGCAAAAAATAAATTAAAACTAAAGTCGTTTAGTTAATCTATTATAGAAAACACATAGACGGTTCGTAATGCTTTTACTAATACCATACATTTATTTTTAAACAGTTTAAAGACTAAACAACCTTAGTTTTAATTAATTTTTTGCATAGACAATTTTTATAGAATGATTTATAATATGAACGGTTCTGATTATAAACGCGAAGTTGTATAAATTGATAATGAACAATTTTAAATTTTTTTGAGTATGAATTTCTATTCATTTTTAAGTAGCTAAGTTTTTTTCGAAAAGTAATTGAATACCTTATGGAACTTTCACTAGTACACACACTGACACACGCACATATATATGCCGAAAGTTGCAAACAACTGTGGAACTTTGCGGAAACTTATGGAATGTTGAACAGCAAAAGAAAGAGAAAAAGAATACAGTATAATTAAGAATAAAAGATAAAAGAGTACGGGGGATCCTAGCTAGGATGAAGTGAAGGTCCGAAATGATGGATTGATCATAATCCAGCATCGATCTGGAGCACAACATCATGCGGTCCCATAATTGAGGCGAAGGTGATTGTTTTGTGTTGAGGAAGACGACTAATCTCGTCTAATTCCTCCTCAGTCAAGGACCAACCGAAGATGTCAATGTTCTGATTCATTCTTTCCTTGTTGACGCTCTTTGTTACCAAGCTCACCCCTTGCTGGTACACCCATCTCAACGCTATCTGCAGATCAATAAAAAGAAAGAAGAAAATTTATATTAGGTGGCAAATTAAACAAAAGTAGTTGTGCTAATTGTTAAAATTTCAGAGACGGTTCAGCGGTCCACTACTAATTTAAAACAATATCATTTTCTAATTCAGTTACATGTGTACCGTGGAACTATTCATTATAAGGGAATTTAACTTCGTCTTCAAGACATATTAACTAGCTACCTGAGCAGTTGTTTTTCCTTTGGATTCGGCAATGTCTTGGAGGACTTTCGAGCCTAAGACTTTGTTGCCTCCAAATTTAGTCCCGGAAGAACCTAACGGAGAGTAGGCCGTCACATGAATGCCCTTTGCCTTACAGAACTCCCTCAGTTTCTTCAGCTGCCAAAGTGGGTTCATCTCCAACTGTATAGTTTAACATACAAATGAATTAACAAATAAAATATA